TATGTTATTTTGTATGTGTGCACCATGACATCAAGTCAAATTCCTCGCACGTGTTACCCTACCGGTACCACTTTACAATAAGACTACCCTTATAAAGGATTCATAAAGGGTTTATAATTAGGTTGAAAACACTTTATTAATCATTAAGAACCATTTATAAACCAGTTCTAACATAGTTTTCAGACATCAACAGAGGCTCACTATTTGGCAAGATGACTAAGCCTTATATTTGGCTACCTAGCTTACTTCGTCTTCTTCATCAGCCAGCATCCTTGGTATCTGTTGTTCACAGAGTTGATTCTCCCCCATCCATCTTGATGTTTCTTGGCATCCCTTTATGACCATTTATTTACGAGTTACTAACATGTATAGTTGCCAAAAGGGAGCCTTGTTGTAAAGTGTAAAACACATTAATGAGTTACTACCATTTCTAATAAGGCTTATCAGTACAGATAAATGTGGGCTCACTATTTGGCAAGCCACCGGTCACAGTTGCCCTGTTTATCTCATGTCTTATAAAAGCTTATTAATGATTTATAAAGTGTTCACAACCTATTCGTAAACCGTTTATAAGGTTAGTCTTACTGTAAAGTGGTACCGTTTATTTTTCTCTGGAAATCTTATATTATGGATTGTTTATTTTTATTTAATTTTTTGTATTCAGATTACAAGTTTTTACTATTATATCTACTTAACTTGGACATTATACTTTCAATTTCCAATTCATATTCATTACTATTAGCTGTGTTTAAAGGGAGATTTGGTTTTGTAACTGCTGGTCACCTGACAAAATAATCTACGTTAATATTATTATTTTGAGTATTGGTATTAACATTAAAGTACAGCTTCTCCATCTGCAAGTACAGTCAAAAACAAAAATGTCAAATAGAGGGTTTGTTCATGCAGTGTACCGCCAGTATTTCACTGCTCTATATAAATATTCAATAAAAATATGAAAAAAAAAAGAAAAACAATATCAAAAAGATAATCAATGTTCCTTTTAAACTGACATACAGTTAAAATGAATAAAATCTAAAGGTCAAAGCTTTTACCACTCTCTTACATTTGATTCTTTACCCCCATGAATGCTCTTGCTAACAATAGACAAATTAAGACTCTTTCTATGTTACGGACACATCTGGTCACATAAAACTTCTTTACTGCTTTTTATATATATCTTTATACATCCTTATATTCCTCATAGTGTGAAGACATCAGTTTGTTTATTTCCGTCACATGTTTATATTTACATCCTACTTAAATATCACTGCTTGTTTTGCACTTCTGGTTAGATGCTAACTGCATTTCGTTGTCATGGTACTTAGTACTCTGTGCAACGATAATAAAGTTGAATTGAATCTAATATTACAGCGCCACGTTTCCCAGTCGACAGGTGGAACAGGAGGAACAGGTGGAACCCGCAAGTTCAAGTGTACCGAATGTTCCAAGGCCTTCAAGTACAAGCACCACCTGAAGGAGCACCTGCGCATTCACAGCGGTGAGCTGCCACTCTCTCTACTTCACTTAAACGTCACCTATTGTGCAAAATCCACTTTTTCATGTCTTTTATACATGCATACTGTATGTCCCCCAATATGTGTTAAGAGATTGGGAAAGTTTCAGGAAAGAAGACCCCCTCTCTTTTTGTCCTGATCCATCTATATAAAAATATCTGAAAATGAGCTGATCAGATTTGGCCATTTTGTGAATCAAAAACATTTTAGCTTTGAGAGAGCACATTTTTTAAACAAAAATTCTCTGTCTGCCCCTGTTAGGTGAGAAACCTTATGAATGCTCCAACTGCAAGAAGCGATTCTCCCACTCAGGCTCCTACAGCTCCCACATCAGCAGTAAGAAGTGTGTAGGTGCAGCACCCCCCAATGGCGTCGCTCGGACCTCGATCAAATCCCCCCCACCCACCACCCAGACAACACCCATCGTAATTGCTCCAGCGCGCAACATTCTTAAAGAGAAGACTGAAAGCAAACCCCTCCAGGAGCAGCTGCCCATCACCCAGATCAAATCTGAACCTGTGGAGTACGAGTGCAAGCCTGTGACGGCGGCAATGGCAACTTCAGCCGCTGCCAATGGGGGGACGGAGCAGCCTCCTCCAGTTACTACCCTGCCCCCGGGGGTGGCTATGGTCGTACCCACAGTGGGCCTCATGTCGCCCATCAGCATCAATCTGAACGACTTGCAGAATGTGCTCAAAGTGGCGATGGACGGGAACGTGCTCAGGCAGGTGCTGGGGACAGCTAACGGGCTGGTGACGCAGGGGAAGCATGGAATTGTACTCCAGCAGCCCCAGCATCAGATCATCAGTCTGCCGGCCTTCGTGGATCATGACGGCACCACGAAGATCATCATCAACTACAGCATCAGCCCTGCAGCCGCCACCACAGCCACTACCCAGCCTGCATCGCTTTTTGCCAAAACCAATCCTGCTCTCCTTCCCACTATCATCACTGCTGCAGCCCCCACCCCCACCAGGACAGATAGGCCTTCAACCCCAGAGGTGACCGACCTCTCCATTGTTAAAAGAGAGCCAGAATCAGTGGCCATCACAGACATGGAGACAGAGGCAGTCAAACAGACAGAAATTACATCAACGATCCGATCAAATCAAAGGCCAAAAGTCAGCAGCATCAGTACATGTTTACTCTGCGATGACTGTCCCGACAACCTGGAGGCGTTACACCTCCTTCAGCACCGTAAAGCAGCCAATGGGGAGGCTGTTGACTCGGCTGCTTTGGACCCCTCGTTCGCTGCTCTGCTGAGCGAGGCGGGGGTCACGCTTGAGGAGCCGCCTGTGGACGATCTCCTCTCACTCCTCAAGACGTACTTCGCCTCCGATGCCAACCCCAGCGACAAGGAGCTGACAAAGATCTCAGAGTCTGTCCGTATTCCCGTTGATGTGGTCAAAAAGTGGTTTGTAAAGATGAACTTTGGGAAAAATGCGTGCAAATATGGAAATAAAACCACAGCAGTTTCAACAAAGACTCAAACCATGAATTCGATCTCAGAGGATCAGAATGGAGAGGCAGAGAACGACAGCTCCAAAGAAACATCCAACCAAGCCTCATCACAATCTGGCAACTCTTCTCCATCAGACTCTTCACCACTAAGCCTCAACACCGGGGACCTCGTCATCGTTAAGAGCGAGCCAGAAGACCCAGATGTCCCGGACTCCCAGGCCGAGCCGCTCGACCTCTCCCTCCCTAAACATATCGCCGCAGCATTAGAAACGAGCGGGACTCCTGTCAAGCTGCAGGAACATCCTCTGAACCTGACCTGCCTGAGGAAGGAGCAGCTAGAGGGGCGGACCATCTACATCACCACACCTCAGAGCGGAGGATCTGTCAACGTCATCACTGCCGCACAGCTGCCCACATTAGTAGCCATCGCCAGTCAGGGCACGATGGGCTGTCTCAGCGCCATCAACACCACCACAAAACGCACCATCCTCATCCCACAACTCACCTACACCTACGCCACTACGGCCGGCAACGCCACTGGAGCCAAGACTGTCGTGCTCAACGGCCATAAGGTTGGTAGTGTTAAGATAAGATGAAATATGATTGACCTTTATTAATCCGCGTGGGGAAATTCAGTAGTTTAACAGCAACAGGGTAAGAATGAAAATCAGGACAGCACAGATTCACACAGATGAATACAATTAAAGATAAAATGAAAAATAAAAATACAATTATAAAATAACTATAAAATAAGAAATTAATTATATTAAAATGAACATATTGGGTCATATATACATATTAGATATATTGACATGTATTTGTGAAAACAAACATTATTATTAAACATTATGTGTTGTATCTGTACCACTACCACTAATCTGACCACAGATCAGCTCTGCAAAGACAACTTAGTCGTAGAAAAGTCTTAACATTCATGACCTACCAGAGAATCCATTTAAACAGGAATCCTAATTTGCTCCTGTGGGTATTGTTCACAGTATTCATTGTTACATGTCTGATATGTGTAATATGTAATGCGCTCTAATAAATGTAATGAATTATTATTATTATTATTAACTCTAAACTAATTATGGTCACTTTAACTTTATGCCCCTACACATGGCGATTGATAACGTGACCACACTGATAAATGTAATTTTCTTCCATACACAGCTGGAAAAGAAAGTGGACAGCGGGTCGGACGGCGTCTCCACAGTGGAGGAGCAGAATGACTCCGATTCACTGATGAAGAAGCGACGG